TCTGTCCTAAAACCATACTACTTTTGACATTTAAAAGATTTTTTTTACCTGTCTATCTTACGCGGAATCCGGATGTCTTTTTTCATCTACCTATAGTTTGTATCAACTTATATGCCTACAAGGACATACCAACTTACTGTTGACAGGAACCAGATTATTTCGGTTTGAACCAGATGGTACGGGAAGATCGACTGGTTTCTAACGCTTTGTGGATTATCCAGTAAATTCAAAATTCGCAGTCACTCGCCTGTGAACAGTGTGAAGCGGACCGAAAAACCCTGGCTTGCGAGGTCCACTAGCAAGTAGCACTTTCCAAATAAGACCAAATCATATTTTCAAATATTAAGAGGCCGTGTAACATTCTATACATTTAATTTGTGCATATTTTCTTTAATGATGATGAGCTCAAAGAATTCCCGTAGACCATGTCATATTCCAATAACTGAACTTGGAAAAACAGGTGCCCAACCGCCCTAAACAGGCAAAATGCGAAACTTTCGTGTGCAGAGAAATCACGTGGAAATTGTGAATCATCTGACCAATCAGAGCACTAGAATTTTACGTCAATATTTACTACTGCTTCATGGATCGATGGATTTTCTCACGAATTTTAGGTGAAAATAGATATATTTAAAACATGATGGACTTTGTTTTTAAAAGTTTGTCTTTATTTCCCTTTTCTTCCTCAGATTTCAAATTTTTTTCTGGCTATAGCAAGTGGTCTCTGTGGTCTCTCTAGGCTACTTTGCAGAAGATACATCCGTGTCAAACACTTTCAAAAATTTGCCGGTCCAATCATGATTATAAAGAAGCAATGAACAGTAATGGTATCGGTAACCTAAAAAAAATTGCTCGTGAAATTCAATCCTAATAAAAGTAAAATATCAATATTTAGCAGTAATGAAGATGAAATATTTACATGTAACTAACACTTTATGTTTGGCAATCAACAATTTTCTCCTAGTCACTGTCAGATCTTGGACTTATATTTTCGGGCTTTTGGAAATGGAGAAGTACTGGCAATTATATTATACTCAAAAACTTCCAAAGAAATCAGTCCTCCGTAAATTAAATTCATAATTAAATCGTGACTTCTTGGATAAAATGTATAATTCATGTTTGATTATGCATCATAATTAAGTATGCGACGACACAGCTCTCCACAGCTGACTCTGTGATGGGAAACGCTCGTCTATAGACGAGAAAAGAGGACGTTGTGCTCAATGTTTAAAATAAAACATGGTCTTGCACCAGACTATTAACAGTAACAAACTTTAATATTACTTCCTGGAATTTGACATACTACTCATTATATGATTTTTGCAATAATTGTGATTATATTGTCATACCTCAATGTAGAACACATTAAGGTACTAAAATAACGGGTACTCAATTTTTCCAACAACAATATAAGACCCCCGTTGAAAAATGACCCCTTTTCCAACAGAGTGATACAAAATTTATAACAGGTGACACAGGAAGAAGTAAACAAGTTCATCAATAGCTGTGCAAACAAGACCTGCTCACTGGATGCCATCCCTACTGCGCTCTTGAAGAACAGTACTGTTCTCTGTGGTGCTGCCGACCATTACTGAGCTGGTGAATACACCACTTCAACCGGGGTCTTTCCAAATAAGCTGAAACGTGCACTTGTTACACCGCTTTTTAAAATGCCTGGAATGGATATGAATACCTATAGTAATTATTGACCAGTCTCAAATATCCCATTCATCAGCAAGGACATCGAACGTGTTGTTGCAAAGCAGCTTAATAGTATCTCACCAGGAATGGTGTGCATGATGACCTGCAGTCAGCTTATAAGACCGGTACCAACACTCCTCAAGACAGTCATCCTGCGAATAATAGCAGACGTAGAAGCAGTGCTGGATGAAGGTGACGCTATGGCCTGGTCCTTCTTGACACTCCACTGGGCACAGTCTTACCTGAGTGGCCGCACTCAAGCAGTAAAGATCAGCACCAGTGTGTCCTCAGATGTGCCACTGTCCTCCGGAGTGCCCCAAGGGTCTGTTCTCGCCCCCTTCTCTTCCTAGTGTACCTTCTCCTACGCGGGAGAGTCATCGACCAGTATGCCTTAAACCGTCATGGATTCGCAGATGACACTAAACTGTACAGCCGTCTGAGTGTAAAAAACACTGCCATTATGGAGGAGTGCATAGCGAGTGAATGACTGTGAACAAACTGATACTCAAAATAAATGATGAAAAAACTGAGATAATGGTGGTTGCATGTGCCCACAACCAGTACCGTGTGAATGATATTCGCCTGAAGATTGGTGAGGCAATAGTGACACCTAAGTCTATACTGTATAAAAACCTCGGTGTTGCCCTGGACGGCGCCTTATCAATGGAAACACAAGTCAGTTCCATGGTAAGAAATATGTACTTCAACATTAGGAGAATCTCCAAGGTGAAATAACATCTCACCAAGGAAGCGTGTGCAAAGGTCATCAATGCAACAGTCATATCCCACCTTGATTGATTATCACAATTGCGCTTCTGCTTGACATAACCGATCGACCCATGCACCTGTTACAAGTGGCTCAGAACCTCTCACAAGAACATGCTATAGAACTTTAACACTGACTGCCTGTAAAACAACGTGTTTAAAGTGTTGACAGCCATATAAGTCACTACACTCCTCCTCAGCACCAGCATACATGAGAGAGTTATGTCCTGTAAACTTACCAGCCACATAGGACCTTGAGATCATCATCTAACCAATGGAAACTGGTAGTGAAGAAATGATCAAACAAATACGGTGCAAGAGCCATGAACACACTAGGCGCAAAGCTGTAAAATATAGAACTTCGAGAGCCTGAAGCACATGGAGCATCGCAAGAACCTAAACACATTCTTGTTCAAGCGTGAATGTGCCCTATGAATGTAAAGTCCAATACAATATCAAGCACCCCATGTGTAATCGCTTGCACCTCAACTTCGATACAGTACTAGCATTTGAATACAATGACCTCAGTGTCGATTTTTATCTTGTCTAGTGTAAGTTAACCACCTTTTCATCTTACTACTATATTTTATTTAAGGTCCTTCTTTGTTTTATGGGTCATTTACTGTACATAATAATTTTATCATTACTCTGATAGGCCTTTTATTGATATATTGTCATTAATTATTAGCACAAACATTGTACAGCGCATAGAAACTATATGTCATTTTGCGCTTTATAAATTAATAAATAAATAATATTAATAATTAAAGGAGAGGATCTTTACAATTAGGGACCATGTACACATACTAAATAGTAGGCGTATTGAGTTTTCGTACACATTAACATCCCTGCATATATATGATGAATTTAAGGAGTACTTCAACTAGTTAGTCTATTTCGTGTAATCCTGTAATGTGGTGAATACAACTCGTAAAAGGCATGTTATTTTCCAGAGTAAAAATCAGCAATTAACTAAATGAGCCTACAAATGCAAGAGCAGTTCAGAACTAAAGGAATGGTGGGGGGGGGGTCTAAAAATTAAAAAAAAATCGAATTAAAAACATTTTGACAGGCAAAATAACAACAAACAAGTGACAACTGTGTGGTAGTGTAAGATACACGGCATCCTACTAGCTTGGGCTAGTGGGTTAATCCTTTAGCTCAATTGGTGGAGCACTGGACTGGCAAGCCAGAGGCCCCGGGTTCAATCACCAGCAGAGGCACATAAATGTCTCTATTACAATTGCGTAAGATCTTTAGTAGTGGGGGTGGGGGTCGATTAGGGAACTATACTAATAGACAAGCCGCTTTCCTTCTTGTATGTCTCTTCTCACCAACTTACGAGGTTATGTGTTTCCTCGAGAGGGTTCAAAGTCATTTTTATATAAATTTTATAACTCTGAAAATCTTAGGGAGAGGACCACAGATCCCCCTCCATATGAACTCCCAGCTTGTATCTGGTTGTCTGATAGATCTCAGCCTGAGAGCTTTTTGAAACAGCTAAGGTAATTTTTTAGACAGACCTTAGTCAACGTAGTCATAAGATGGGCCACTGTTATAATATTCTTCTTTTTTCGTTTCGAGTCATCGTTGCGACGATGTTTTCCATGAGATAAAACGCATGACACGACAGGACTGTGTTCTTTGAGGACTGTACATTATTCACTGTTATTATTATTATTACATGTGATGCTGTTTAATTATATGAAGTTTTTGTTACTTTATATCATGTGCAACTTCCATTATACTTTCTTCAATATATGATACACGGATATGCTCGTCTCTGCATAATTTATCAATACCCAGTCCTGTTCATCAGTTCATATTGTCAAAACATTGAGGGACGTAGCGTCGTTTTTCACCTGTTACGAAACATCGTCGCAAGCTGTCCATTCTATATTTCCACAATTTTGTGGAAATAGAATGGACACAAATCCGTGGCTTGCGACGATGTTTGCGACGAACCAGTAAAAATATTAATTTAAAAAAAAAAGAAGAAAAAAAAACCACCACCAAAAACAACAACAAAAACTTTTTTGGTGGATGATGGGATGGAATCCTCTCCCTTTGGGACCAAAAAAAAGGTGTGTGTGTGTGGTGTTCAACCAGTTCAATACTAACATCTACTTTTCGTCGAGCCTGATAAGTTACTAAATAACTCAAATGTATCCTGTTCAAGGAGAAAATAAAGTTGATTAGTTAGAAAACTATAAAATCGTAATATTCGTTCAGACCCAATCAAAGTACTATCTAGTTTAGGTCCGTAAGAACAATTTCAGCACCCCCCTCCCCCCCCCCCCCCCCCCCCGATGGGAGAAGGGGGGTGCTTTTTAATTAGACTGTCAGAATTTTTTATTGAAGGGGCACAAGCATAAAGTAGCTATAGTATATTATATTATTGGAAAGGGGGGGGGGGGCGGCTCCCGTACCTTCGGTCCTTACGACCACGTTGTTGCACAAAGAGGAATAACTGAATCAACGTGCAAGTTAATACTATTACTTCCCGCTGGAGCTCTTTTACGTTTGAAGTTACGATATGGCGGCTATGGAAAATGGCCTCCAAATCTGAAACCGTTAGGATAACATACAAAGAACTGGAATCCTCTGTTCAAGATAAAGACAGATTAAACCGAAATTCCGACAGAAGCAGTAATGATGGTAATAATTATTCACATAACGTTCGTATTCCCCTCAGCTGTTGGTTGAAACATGCTGCAGTGCTACTTTTGTTTTCATTTTGAATTTTAAGAATTTTTTCATCACAGTCTGCACAACAGGTACCATGTTTCGAAATTAATGCAATGCACATTACTTTGGTTGACTTGATTATACTTATTTGTTATTACCTCTATTCTCTCTTTACGCTCGGTATTGTCAACATGTTGCATGATGAATCAACATTGTTCAGGTCCAGCACAATCTCTTGATTAAGCTATATAGCTTGAAATAGCTATATAGCTTTATTAAGCTATTCAAAATAGCTTGATAAAGCTATTTATATGCAGGTTTTCACAAAAATGTTATTTGTACAAAATAGACAAGAAGTCGCAAGTAAATGACTATTCATATATGTAATATTAGATAGAACGTTCTATCGTTAAAATGACATTGTCCTACGGACCCGGTTTAACGATAGAATTTGTTCCATATATTGGCAATGTTGCAAAATAAACACGGGCGATAACTCGTACTCTGTGCATTTGCTATGAACAATCCAGAGAGTTCCGAATGTCAACATGGAGTTAAATTTGAAGTGAAGAAAAAACATTGAGAAAATGAGTTGAATTTTCGTATTTATATGGTTTATTTTTTTAGGTTAAAAGACATATACCATCTCAAAAAGGTTTGTTATGATTAATTTGGTAGTTATTTTCAGTGCAACTCCTTTTGTATTCTTCAAAATCATTTCGGAGTGGATCCACTCCGATTTGCTACATTGCAGTATATGGAATGTATTCTAACTGTGGTGAGGGCTTGTCCCGAGACACAGTTAGATTATTCTAACTAATGTAATATGGGTTATCAAATCAACAACCCAAATCAAAGATAGTTCTAACATTGCAGCATTTGAATACTTTTAAGCAAAAGATGAATTTCCATTGTTTGGGTAACTGTACACTACCTTGTGTGCATTGAGGCATGGATAAGTATGATTGCTTCTCATTGTACTGAATTATTACCAATCAATTATCTTGTCGACCATAATTGGCCTCCTTTATAATTTCATTGAAGAAGTAACTGTATCAATTGCTTTATATAGCCCCAAAACTTTTAGAACTTTGAGTACAAGTCTCTTAAGGAGACGCAATTTGATGAGTGATTTTTACATGCATTATTTTCATAAGAGTTCAAGGTTGAATATTATCACCAAGGTGCGACTTATTGTGCATACTTGGAAAATAACACATTTGAGAAAAAAGTGTGATAAAATAGCTAAATCAAGCTATTCTGAATAGCTTAATAAAGCTATATAGCTAAATCAAGCTATATAGCTTAATCAAGAGATTGTGCCGGACCTGTTGTTAGTACTTACTCAGTCAGGTTGTGACCAATCGCCCAAATAGGATATAATAGCCTGTTTGGGATATAACATCCCAAATGGGATATTAATTTACAGTGCAAAATACGAAAAATTATATTTTGGCTGATATGTTTAACGGTGTGACCTTTGGGGTGAGTGCAGTTGTACCATCAAAAACCTATATACATAGCTTACACTTAATTGTAACGTTGATCTGCCTCTTCAAGCTTCAAACCGCAGGAGACACAGTCTTAGACTGTGACGTCTCATGACGTCGGAATTTACGGAGACAGCCGAACGTCTGGTTGAATGAGACTACAGTTCTTGTTCAAAATTAAATGAAATACCTTGTAGAGTAGATGCAATTGTTTTTTTGTTTCTTTTAAGCTCTCTGCAAAGAAATGAAAGTAAATATATCTCTTGGTAAGGAACAATTATCCTTGGTCGTTTGTATGTTTTGTAATAATTTCTCATGTAACCCTGGTAGCGAATGAATTCTGGGAATATTGCACAAGAAAATTTGCCTGACATATGTACAGATTTCATTCTGAATTTCCTCTGTTCTTACACGTTAAACTATTGAGCTCACTTCGCGAGCAGTGCTTTGCACTGCTTGCTGCGCTCCCTATAAATATAAATCCACATCAAGATACTGATAAAGGAATAACTTTTGGTTAACAATTTTTTATGTTAGCCCACTGTTAGGAGATTGATCGGAAGTTCCTAAACTTCTTGATGATCAATCTAACAACCTGTAGGGTTGCAGAAAAACTTGGATTAGTGATATTTATAGCCCCCCCCCCCCCCCCAAAAAAAATTAACCTTTTGCACTGTAAATTTATATCCCATTTGGGATATTATATCCCAGACAGTTTATTATATTCTAAATGGACAATTGGTCCCAACCTGTTACTTGTAAGTTGTCAGGGCTATAAGCTATAAAACAATTAATAGCTTTAAATAAGATACAGGTAACTCTCGATACCTCGAAGTCTGCGGGACCAAGGAAAAACTTCGAGAAATCAAGAGTTCGAGTTTTCAAGAGTCCGGAATTTTCCGGGTTTGTTGACAGGTTTTAAAATTAGTCTTCCCAGATGTTAAGATTTTCATGTAGTGCTACATGTGTAACGTTTTACACGTGATTTTTATAAAACAACGATATTTTTTCGTAATTTAGATTAATATTTCGTTAAACTAAGTAAAGCAAAACATGTTTATCGTCATTTTATGTATATTTATTTATTCTTTGTTATACGGACATCATACTACGATTTTCTTTACATGAAAACGGCATTTTACAGCGTCGTACATAGCATTGACTATTCCAAACATGACATTGAACGCAGTTCTGTAAGTATTTGTCCAATAATAGTCGTCATATTGACATTGAGGCTGTTTCTGCTTTTTCATATTTCGTTTACATGTAACTTTGACACTGACTCGAAATAAAAATTAAATTAGTGTTTCGTTTTTTCACTGACACTGCGTCTCTAAATTATCGTAAGACAGTCAGCATATAGGCAAAATATGATTAATTATAAATCAATTATCACCTTGCATCATAAGTGTCACCTGAATAAACATTCCGGTCTTCGAGACCCGCGTCTTCTGACTGGGGTCATTTAAATGCCCAGGTAAAGGTGCTAATTATATAACCTTGTATACACATAGCCACTTCGAGGTATCGAGGGTAAATTCTAATAGAATATGCATAGCGGGACTGCATTTTGACTTCGAGGGATCAAGGGTTTCGAGAGATCAAGAGTTCGAGAAATCAAGAGTAAATTTGCTGAGTTATATAGGGGAAAAATTCGGGACCGGAGACTCACTTCGAGCGATCAAGAACTTCGAGAGATCGAAGTTCGAGCCATCAAGAGTTACCTGTATGTGGTATTCAACCAAAACCTGCATTTTATTGAGACTTAACAGTTCCTGTTAGTTAATTAAGTGTATTGTTGCACGAACTCTTTTCTTCCTTGGCAGTGTTATTCTAGATGAGCATTCTATGGTAAAATGCGATTGTCCTACGGACCACGTTTAATGATTTAATTCATTCCATGTGTTGACTATTCAGCAAAATAAATAGGGGCAGAAAATTTTAATGTACATGTTTTCTATGAAAAATCCAGAGAGTTCAAAATGTCAAAATTGCATTTAAATTTGAAGCGAGAAAAACGTTGAGAAAATGACTTGAATTTTTGTCTTTATTTTGATTATTTTTTTTGGGTAAATGGCATATACAAGCTCAGAAAGGTTTGTTATGATTAATTCTGTTGTTATTTTCATTGCACCTCCTTTTTAACTCTTCAAGATCGTTTTGGAGTGGATCCTCTCAGATTTGTTACATTGCAACTAAATGAGATGAATTCTAACTGTGGTGAGGGCTTGGCCCGAGACACAGTTAGATTATTCAAACTACCCAAATACCACTGCATGTAATACAGTTCATTACCAGTATGATGTCATTTGTGGTTCGACAGTTTATACCTACAATATACAGTGTGAATTTTGTTTTAAAATGTTTTATGTAACTTTTTGATAAGTTTTCCTTGAAAGGTATGTACATATAAACATGCAGGATTTCACTTCTGTTATGTGTATTTTAGAAATTCAAAAAAGGAAAAATAAGAGGCCAACAAGAGGTATATACCAACCCCCTAAGCGATCCCCAAAAGTTTTAGAAGCAGGCAGAGTTCCGGAGGGTGAGAGCTGGGAGGGAGATGAGTTTCCTAGCTCTGACAGCAAAGAGACCAGTTCAGAGAGAGAGGTGAGGGAAAAAAATTTATATCGATATGTCTAAATGAACTTAAATTAGACACTGTGTATAGCCATTTTCCCAAGGATGACCCTTGAAAGTCATAAAGGCTTATTTCCAATGGGGTCCTCATAGATTGTAATTGCTTTAGCACTAGTGTTTTGATATAAATAAAAATAAATAAAACATAAATAAATAAGATAAATTGAAGTCTTGACATGTGTCTTATTGCTTGCAAAATTGTTTTTATTTAGATTAGAAATAGACTGCTCTGTACAAGAGCCAATTTCTTAAAAGAATTACGAACGTGGAAAATGTATATTAAACAGAGTGATAATGTGAAAAAGGAAACTTTAAATCTGCATAAATTTGAGAGCTGATTTTAAGTACATGTATTTACTTACCTCTATAATTTAAACGATGAATTCAGTCAGTATGCAATAAAATTTCTTGTATATTTTGTAGATCGATGATGTTAGTTCAAATATAAGAAACCTAAATCTTGGCAAAGAGAAGAATGACCAAAAGAAACAAAGATCCAAAAAGCCGGAAATTCAGAGATATGTTCCTAAAGGGAAAATACTGGAACAGCAAACAAAAGAAGACGACACATCAGAAACCGAACCAGGCCAAAATGTTTCTCCACGAAAAATTGATCTAAAGAAAGACCAGCAAGAGTTAAAAGTAACAGTTGTGAATGAAGGGGTGCCTCCAAGTGGTCAGTCAAATGTGGGTGCAAAGACTGAGGCCAAGGAACCACCAAGCCCTCACAATCCACTGGACAGGTCAATATCAAAAGGGGAGTCTCCTAAATATCAGTCCAAATCTGATACTGCAAATCAGTTTAGGGGAGGTCAGCAGTCAAATAAACCAAAACATCAGAAAGATTTTGAGAATAAACCAAGGAGTGGACGAAATGTGGAGGAGAGAAGGTTTGGAGGTGGTGAAAGTGATTATAGGAGGGGAAAACAGCAAGGAAGTAAGGTCCTTGATAGAGGGAATAGAGAGGAGGAATTCAAGAGGAGTGAGGGGAGAAGAGGAGGGCATGGTAGACCAAGAGATGGTAGAAGAACTGGCTGGCAAGAAGAAGAGCCTAAACCACAAAGACAACCAAAGGAAAGGAGGGACACAGGGGCAGAAATCAGCAAAGGGAACCAGCAAAGAGTGGAGAATACTGAAAGCGAAGAAGGCATACAAGGTGTCATACCAACAATGGTGTTTGAGAGGAAAAATGGGAACAGTTCTGAAGTGGAAAGCTCTAAACAAGGCCAGAATGCAGCAGGTGCTAGCAGTGGAAATGGCAAGCCCGGATCTAAAAGATATTCACTGTCAGCCATGAGGCGTCCAAGAGCTGGCAGTATCAGTAGTGATGTGAGCAATACAAGTGATCTCAGCATGGATGAAGAGACCACAAATAGAATTTTGGACTGGAGTGAAGAAGTTGAGAGGGAAATGGCAGAAAATGTTCATGATGAAACAAGAAAACTGCAGGAATATCTGGATCAAAAGGGTGGATTCAATGACTGGGATGGAGCCATAGAAACAGTTGACAAAGCCAGGCAAGCTCTGGAGAGAGGTCAGCAAACACAGAGAAGTATGGAGGAGGAAAGGAACTTTGGAAAGGAAGGAGGCAGGCCATATGGAAATGTCAAAAATGTTAAGAATGACAAGAATTTTAATGCTGGTCATAAGGAATTTGAAAATGGTTTCAGACAGAGAAGGAACAGTGATGGAGCTAGAAGTCGAAGAAAAGACAATCGTAGAAAAGGATCCAGCACTGGAAGACGGAGTCGTGATTCTAGTGTGTCTAGTGCTCACAGTGTCAGGAGCTACCACACAGAGGATGATATGTATGGCACAGACACCTGGCCTAGAAGACGCAATCGTAGGAGAGGTAGTAATGCCAGTGTCAAGGAATCTCGCAGCAAAGAAGTTCTGAATGATCCAGCCAGTCTGAATCTGAAGGTGACATTTGCAAGAGATGACAAAAGACAAGTTATGATGAAAGACAGAGAAAGTCCTAAAGGAAGAGGTAGGGGTAGAGGAAGAGGACATCGAGAGAATAGGGATGAATCAAACATTGGCAGACATTCAGATGAACATCGTAGAGGATTTGAAAATGAAAAACAGGGAAGATATAATGATAAATCTGCAGGAAGTGAACGTCAGCGAAAACTCTCTGGGGAGCAAAGAAATTGGCAAGGTCATTATGAGGCAAAGGGAGGGAGAGAATATGACCGACGTTATGAACGTAGAAACTTTGGAGGTCATCAGGTAGATCAAGAGGAAAGGAAAAGTCCCGAAAGCCCTGCACACGGTGGAGGATTAATAAAACTCCCAGCCAATACTGACACATCAGAAAACCACTCTCAGGGCCATATCAATTGGCATCATGGAGAATTCCATACCATGGGCCACAGAGGAGAAAGAAACAGGAATAGCCATAGAGATACTCATGCCCATGGCAGCCCAGGTCAAAGAATGTTGTTTGATCCCAAAAATCCAGAGAAGATGATAATGGTTCCCACCCCCACATCTTCTACATCTACCGGTACATCCCAGCTGAAGTTCAAGGACCCCTCTGGACAGGAATCTCCTCAGTCTCCACCTACACAGCAGCATCCCTTGATGCCCCCTCCTGGAGGTTTCCCACCCGTGCCACCCCAGTACAGAGGTTATCCTCCATTTTATCAAGGATATGATCCCCGCTATCAGGATCCTATGTATGGGGGACCAGCTCTGCCTGGCCCTCCCATGCCAGGATACTATTATGGGTACCCTGCTATGTACAGAGATAATCCCATGTTCAGAGAAGATGGTGCTGAGTTCTCAGGGTAGGTTGCATATAAATCTATTGTAGAAAAGTATATTTTTGTTCTAGGTGTTTTCTAAGTATGAGTTATTCATGTAAAACTTTTTAAGTTATACATTACGTGTAAAACAGGAAAGATTTTTTTTAAGCTGAATGCCAGTTATGTTTCAGGGATGGTGAATTAGACCCCATGTATGCAGGTCGATCCAGGACCCAGTGCAGGATGATGGCTGAGCATCTGTTCCAGGAGGCGTGTCACATGGACTCCCAGATGACAAACCTTGTATCTAGAAGGCAGTCTGCTGAGTCAATGCAGCATGTTTACAGATTAAGGTAAGGTCACAGGTCAGATAAACCTTGCATCAAAAAAAAAAACAATCTACAGAGTCAGTGTAAATGTTTACAGACTCGGGTACAATGTAATTTCACCTGTCTACTGGTATATTTTTGTGTATTATTCTGTTTTCAGACATGAACTGCAGCAGAAGTTGGAGCAGATTATCCTACTGGATGTTGAGGTGGCGAGTAAACACAATGTGGAACAACTGTTGTGGAAGTCAGTGTATTATCAGGTGATTGAGATGTTCCGAAGGCAGCTTGCTGAAGACAAGGAAGATAACAACATTAAAATGGAACTCTCCAAAATCCTGGATGAGGTATTTAGAGTAATCTTAAGTTGTGCAAAATTACATGAAGTCACACTTACGGTTGTTATTTTTCAGGGTGTATATATGCAGTTCACAATCTTTTATACCAAATCTTATGTTGTTTAGGAACACGAAGAAAAATATCATATAACTGAATCTTATTATGTAGGGGACAACATTCTTTGATAAACTCCTCCAAAAGCTTCAGCAGAAATATGGTTTTGATGTTGAGGATTACTTGGACTCCAGTTTAACTGTGCAAGAGAATCAGAGCAGGAATGTTAAGCTGGCCGTACTCAGCATACAGAGACTGATGATCAACCTGGGAGACATTGCTCGCTACAGGGAACAGATGAATCACACAGGCAAGGTCAACTACGGACGGGCCAGAAGGTCAGATTTCTTACCACTTCACACTGTAAATAGTTAGGAGAGAGATGTTGGAAATTGTGTTTTTGTACTGGGTATTGAAAGGTCAGAAGTTAACTGTAATAAATTTTGATGAATGATGATGATGTATGTACATGTATGCCATTGTAATTCCTATTTTTTATTGAAATAAGGATTTAATTAGAAATTTGAATTACATAATTTTAGTTGGTATACCAAAGCTCAACAGCTGGCTCCAAAGAATGGTCGCCCATACAACCAGTTAGCAATATTGGGACTGTACACGGTAGGTTAATCAAGGGAAATAAATCGTCTTTGTTTTTGATCTCAACCCTTCTTGTAATTTCCTTGTAAAAAAGTCTTATTGATTATGACTCATAAAAGACTATGGAATTTTTTGTTTTATCTGAACATTTTGATATTTGTGACAGAGGAGGAAGTTAGATGCGGTTTATTACTACATGAGAAGTCTGGCGGCCAGTAACCCTTTCCTTACAGCCAGGGAAGGACTCCTCAATCTGTTTGACGAGGCAAGGAAAAAGGTAATAAATATGAAGAGATCTTTTGAAGTCTGCATTTTTAGATTAAAAAAAGGAAAATATTTCTTGCCTTTGTGTGGGATGTTTGTTATTGTAAAATGAATGAATATAAATGATAATCTCAACCATCAAAGCTAGAGAAGAAAGAAAGAGATTAATGAGATCATGTACATCTAGAGAAGTTTATGAAGATTACTGTACATTGTCCCCATTTTCCAAGGCTCTGGCTGTTGAACAGAAAAAGGAGGAAGAGAAAGAAAAACTAAAGAAGTTGGCCCCCCAGAAGCCTCACCATGGACAGAGGATTGAGATCTGGGTGTCACCTGATGGGACGAGCTCGGAGGGGAAGACAGAGGAAGGGGGAGAGGATGACCTTGACAAACTCGAGGCTGTGGAGGTCAGATATTATTGTAAACCTTTGATTGTATTTATTTTCATATGATTAAGGTGTTCTATCTACTGTTGAATCATTTTAATTCTTAGGGCCAATTTTTGTTGATTGCATGGGATCAAGGGACATACATGTATTTCTGAGGCAAAAGTTTCATTTAAAAAAAGATAAGCTTAGATATCAAAATTGTTTGAGATTAAATTTGTTGGTGAAGGGTACCCCAAAAAATTAAACCTCCATGAAATACAATGATTCCTTAATTATCAGTATATATAAATATACTATACAAATAAAAATAGACTTAAAAAGAAGATGTGGGTACCTTCAAGTTATTGGAAAATAAGAACTGTTTTGAAAAAAAAATGTTTTTCAAAACTTCCGTATTGTGTAATACATTATTATAACCATATTGTCTTTGGCTATTGCAGCTGAACAAGAGATTTAACCTGAGCTTCCTTAATGTTCATGGAAAGCTGTTCACAAAAGTTGGGTATGTACAAGTGCAAGTAATTACAATTTTAAAAATTAAAACAAAATAAGAGAGATTTGAAGTGATAGCTGTTTGATCATACCAGAACCTTGAATGGTTGTACAGTCTTTTACTAGAATAACATGGCCATGAGTTGTCTAAATTCACGTGCAAGCATCATCATTTAGTGTAGATTCACATTTGTGAAAGCCATGTCCCAGCGGGCAGGGAAGCTATTTTTTTTTTTTTTACACAGAGATGTACTACAAGGTTACTTTAAGGACCCTCTATACACTAGAGGAAAATATTTTTTGGACGTTGAGAAAATTATAGTGTGTAAAGGTGTAAGTATTGAGCTTATCTATCACATTTTCAGCATAGGGTGCCTTGCATTTACCCCCAGGAAAAATGTTCAAAGACAATGAAGTACTGATGAGCATAAATCACTGTTGTTTACTTAAGTGGGCAAAATACCTGCAAATGAAGTGTTCTATCTATTCATCTTGGCCTATTAAAGTGTTATGAATGCTTGATTTGATCACAAATTAAGTAATAAACTGTACATTTCAATTTATTTTATTCTTGATCAAAGGGCAGATCACTCTATCTGCATAAAAATACCACAAAATCAGAACTCTCTAGTGTGCAGTGTGTAGAGGGCTCTTAATAGGCTACTAATTGTTCAAATTTAGATGCAAGCATGATCAAGTAGTGTAGATTCAAGTTAGTTCAGTCCATCAAAGCATGGGCATTTGGGGTGGAATATGGCTACTAAGGAGGTTCAATGTTTTTCATAGAAAAGCTAAAGATAAAAAGTGTAAAAATCTTCTCAAGAACCACAAGGCTTTATTTTCAAATTTATTTGCAAATGTTCACTTGTAGTTTTAGTTCAAATGACATACATATACCTGGTACATGTTCTTTTGCATGTAGAGTTATTTTATGATCACCTCGCAACAAAGATGGAGGGGATATAGTAATGTGCTTGTGAGTTTGTGGGTTAGTGATTGTGTGTGTAACTGAAGTAATTATTTACATCAGGATTGTTGTGCTCTTTTGCAAGGGTATGCTCCCCTTTGTGGTGCCCTTGTTGATATTTGGTATTAGTCTTTCATTGTAAAGTAAGGTGTTTCATAAATACCGGTACATCATGTTTGGGAATTAATTACATGTAACAGTCAGACGACAAAACACTGTGCAAGTATATTTTCTTGAGGAGTACTGATGGTTGTCTAGCTCCATATATACACTCAATATAAACATCACCTAAACAAAAGATTTATAATTCGTGTATTTTTTTGTGACTGTAACTGTTCCTATCTACATTGCTGTTTTTTGTATAGATGTTTTGATTAATTTGTACATGTTCATCATGTACATGTATGAAGGGTATAAGTTCGGCTTTAAAAATGAGATCTGCTCTTTTCAGACGAGAGTCATTTCCTGAGTGTTGTGGACAGATGTTGAAGGAATTCCAGGCCTTGCTGAGATATGGAGCTTTGCCACCTAGCCGACTCATTCAACTTATGGCAATCAACATGTTCGCAATAGAAAATACAGCTTTGAAAGGTTTAACACTTATCTAATTTGGAGTCATTTGCAGAAAATGATTCTGATAAATTTTATTATTTATAATACTAAGATTTACAATTTTTCACATACGAAATAAAATTCAAACCATTCTGAACATTTAACAATCGTATTGTAGGATTTAACATTGATATTTAAGTACAACCTTATACAGAAGTAATAGGTATTACATACATGTACATTTTATTCTTAATTATTTTATACCCACCCTCCCCCTCCCCGAAAGGGTTTATATTGCTTTGCACCTGTTGGTCAGTCAGTCTGTAGACCAAGTGTTGTCTGCTCTAAATATTTTGAGAACTCTTTGCTTGACAAACAATAAACTTGGTACACTGGTTCCCCTCAAAGAAGTAGATGACCTCTGTAGATTATGTCAAGGTCAAGGGTCAAACTACCCTATACATAGGAAAATATTGGAGGCATAAATATATTCCTCATGCATTTCTTGTTTAACAGCAAAAGCTATGTGTGAAAAACTTAAATTCTTTTTAAATTCCTGATTTTAGATTTATCAATGGCAGAGGACTTCCGGTCAGAGCTCCAGGAACACGCAGTACAGCTGGGTCTTGACATGTTCGGGATTCTCCTGGACTGCTGTGCACAAGAGCTGACTAAGCACTTAGCCTCATCAGATTACCCAAGTCACATGTTCAGTAGTGAGTTAGAGGAGCTGATCCCAGGAGTCAAGAAGTGGACAGACTGGATGTTAGCAAACCTCAAACTGTGGAACCCACCCCCCTCTCTCAGAGACACCACACTGGGGTAGGTCAAAGTTCTCAGGACTGCATAGACTGAATCAATGAATATAAGTACATATATCAGGAATACTTCAGATTTTTGAGTTGGATATGAAAAAAAAAACATCTAAAAATTTTTTAAATTAGTTTCATCTTTTAATCAGAATGCTGCTTTAATGGACAGTTTCATGGAATCTGGTTTGTCCTTGAAAATTATATTGTTGTAACATTGTGAACCGTTCAAACTCTTTTGTGTTATTAAATGCTAGATTGTCTGTAAATGAATATATTATCTTCATAGTGAATAGTTAAGCAGCTTGTACAATTTCTTGTTGAGTTCAAATAAATGTCAATTAATTTGTTTGCACATTGTTGAAGATAGTAGTGGACAAAATACATGTACTTATGCTTTAGTTTTTCACACACAGGCCTGGTGTGGATGTTTGGAAAGTGACTGCCAAGTTTGCCAACATTCTGAAAGATGTAGACATCAGTCATGTCAAGTTATATGAAGATAAAATTGAAGGTAGGAATCAATTTGAGTCAGAACAGCTGTATGGTTACACTTTCTTAAACCATACACCTCAACAAAATTATATGAAAAATATATATATATAAAAAAAGCTTTCATCAAGAGGAAAACATAAATGTGTGGTAATTAAGTGTAATTATTAGGAAGAACAATTTGGTAATCATTCTTCAGATGTTTACGTAATATCTACCAAGGCATACTGGTATTTACTTTCAGGCTGTGAATCAGTTGTTTTATTTGAGGACACTATGTTGTCTGGGTTTGTTCCCCTCATGAGTGCCCCAATAAAAGTGGCTTATGTTCACAGTACTGTAGACAAGGTAATTTTAAAAGATTGGTCAGAACATTTGTACTATTTTAAAAGGGCCAAAATGTTTGGAACATGGAACACATGATCTAAGAATTGTTGTTTTACAAAATTTCATTGCTTTTTTTTCTTTCTTTTTTTTTTTTTTTTTTTTTTATAAAATTGAATCCTTTAACAGTAAGCTTAATTTTTGATTCCAATGTTTTGGATCCTGCTTTTGAAGACAGTTTTCAGACTTTTGATCTTTCTGCAGGACATTGCTCGGGACTGTCTGCGGATACAGGTGTTACAGGAGTTTGCTGATTACTTGTGTGGAGTTGAGCCCCCCATGTTGGAGTATGACGTGGTGAAGAAGGAATACTACTCAGTGGCACCCTCTACTGACTACAGTGAGGCTCCCCATGGGGACCTACCCTCAGATTCAGATGAAGTGAGACATGTAAAAATTTCAGTCATGAAGGGTTGTCTGTTTGACTGTATACTTTAATTTTAATTTTCTGTCACCTTCATGTAACATTCATCTGTTTTTCTCATAGCCTAAGTCCGAGGAGAATTTACATACTGTGCATTGGCAAATAATCACGATGGTTTTAATTTCACTATGTTTGGGATTCATCATTTTTCCATGAAATTAAACCCATAGTGAATGCTATCATTAGTTTTTAAAAACGTTTAAATGGTTATACAAAATTTAAATTAATGTCTTGCAGGGTGAAATTAAAACCATTGCGATTGGTACTTTTTGAGAAATCGTGAAATTTTAACACCGTGGAATTAAAACGATTTACAGTATATGAACTTTTGCTTGTTGATACAGTATGTCTTGTATTAAAACTAAACATTAATTTTAAGCAGACTCTCTTCATAATTCCATAGGTTTGAGGTTCTTGAACCTTTGTGTATATACACATATGTAGGTATGACGGTATTGTTGTCTTTCAGGAAGCTGAGGTGATCATTGAGAGTGAAGAGGAGGTCACCGAGGGGACAGAGGGAGATGAACATGTCCGTCTACTGCGACAGAAGAAGGAAGAACTCAGGAAAAAGAAAGAACAACAGCTCAAAGACAAAGAAAATATTCAGGTACACTAGCAGATAAATTAACTTAATAGGCTAGGAGCATGACGTAAGGAGATGAAGCCTTGATCCTCCAGATGTTTTTAAGTATAGGTCAGGAATGTATTATTTTGAAGTACAACATAATACTTTTTTCCTACAAATAACAAACAGTTTGAATAACTGTGTGTCCTGAATTTCAATGCATAAATTGAATTTATTTTACAGAAACTGATAGAGAAGGACCGTCATCGGTGTATAGAGCTGGAGATCCATCCAATTTTCTTAATTCCAGACACCAACTGTTTTATTGAACACTTTTCAAGCCTAAAACAGCTCATTCAGCTGAAGAAGTTTACTGTGGTAGTGCCTTTAATAGGTAACATAACATTCTACATAGATACTTTACAGAACTGGGTGTAGACTTGATTTCTTACTACTGTTCAGTACTTCAAAGGGTACAGAATTGCTTATATACAAGCAGTTCTCAATATAAACCCAAGGTTATTACTTAAATGAATGTTTGTTAGAAGAAGATGAAGTACTGTATGATGCAAGAATTTTTAAGAAGTTTAAACAATACAATTAAGGAAATATATAAGTTCTAAAAAATAAGGAGATGAATTACAGAGCATATGTATTATGTGAAGTCATATATTTGTTCTAGTTATTAATGAGTTGGATGGATTAGCCAAAGGCAGCAAGGAGGGACAATACGACTCAGCTGATCAGGCCCTGAAGGTCGCAGAGAGGTCAAAACAGATGGTTGAATTCCTAGAGGAGGAGTTTGAGAAAAAGAACTCGCATCTGAAAGCCCTGACTTCCAAAGGGAACGTACTGGAGACCATCTCATTCCGAAGTGAAGAGGGGGACAGCAGCGGGGTAAGTACTGAGGACAGTCTATTTATGTCTTCATGTGTTGGTCATGATCTTACATGTGTGTCTTACGTGTGTCTTATTCAGAAATTTTATCTTTCTTCAGACAGTTTAAAATGTTTACTGTGGTTTACTCTCATTTGGTACTGTGTTCATTCAACGTTCATTCAACTATACTATAAATCATCAATACAGTGGTACCTGTACACTGTATGTACTCATGTTTAGTTTTTTTTACCATATTTACATCAGAATATGCATATTTTATTGCAGGGAAATAATGATGACATCATTCTCTCCTGTTGTTTACACTATTGTAAAGACAAGGCCAGAGAATTCATGCCTAAAGAGAAAGGTAATCTTATGTTACTTTATATAAGCAAAGTTACTGGTTGAATTGACTTAATATTTCTGAGAAAATTTGCTCTATTTTTATAATGTAAGCAATAGAGTTGGAAGTATAGAATTTTTCATGGAAAAGATAAGGAAGTCTAACCTACATGCCAATACAAGTATAATGTATATAAAATATATTCCTGTATCAGCATTATATTATATTTTACTTTTGTAAAAGCAGTAGGAGATTTACCCCACTTTCACAAATTTCTGAATTCCCCTCTGACTTTTGCATATATTTGAAATAGCAAAGAATGCCCTTAGATAATTTTTGAATAGCAAAGAATGCTTTGAAATGCACAAGTATCAGAATGATGCTTTATGTTGTTTCAGATTATTCACTGACCTCATTTGCTTTTTCTTTAATATTTTTAAATGAATTAACTTTTATTACATGTATTAGATGCCCCAGTGAGGTTGTACAGAGAAGTAGTATTGTTAACAGATGACAGAAATCTACGATTAAAGGCTCATACCTGTAACGTACCTGTCAAAGATGTCCTGTCATTCCTCAAGTGGAGTAAGATCACCTGAACTGACCCGTGAAATGATGGCATCAGTTCTGATCATCTGAGGACACGGGCCACTGGAGTGTCAGCCTAGTGTGGCAGCTAATGGTTCTCGGCTAATGTCCTTTATCTAGTGTGAACAATTTGTCTGTTTGGCTTGTGTTAAATATCACAATGGCCCATGTGAGAAACAAAATAATTTCAAGGATACTACATGTAATACTGAATGGAAATTTCTACTTTTCCCAGCTTAACCCAGAGATTTAAGAAGTACATCTGAAGAGTGATGTTTTCTACTGTTATGTAGATGAAATATCTGTAGCTCTAGTGAGTATTTGAGGAACTTTTTCCTCTGTGTATTTATAAACTGTGACTTTTTGAACTGATGAGACAGTGAGTGTTTGGACTGCATTGACAGTGAGTTTTATATTAACCTTTTTTTAACCCTATTAATTGTGAGATTTATGATGTAGTCCACTACATGTTGCACTTGTTTTGCGACATCATGGAGTCACTGTTCATAATTCTGAGAGGATCAGGGAGACACCACAGGAAATTACAGTGAATGTTGGAAAAGTACCAAACAGTTCTTGTGTGAAATATTATGGCAGTCAACAGACTGTCAATTAAAGGTTTTATTCTTATGAAAGCAGCAGCTTTAAGTTTCATTTTATGATGGAGTTTTACAGCTTTAAATGATAGAATTCTTTTCCTGACCCCCAGAGCAGATTTGTGAAGAATTTTAGTTGTTGTTTCTTGTTAGTGGAGTTGTAAATATTGAAATTTTAAAACATATAATTATGTTTGTACACCTGCATACCCCTTAGAAGCTTTAGAACCTGATTGTTAGTCAAAAAATCAAAGACCTAAAGTCCTAAACACGTTTTATACACATATGTTGATAGGATTTATTATTTTTTTCTGAATACTGAAAAACAGAGACAAAAAAAAATTAAAATAATAATCCGAAAAATGTCTTGGAAGTTAGTGAACTCTTTGATAGTACAAGTCCTTTGTAAAAAAAAGAAGAAGTGAGCTTGTAAGAAACATAAATTTCAGGTTTGAATAGCTTTGGTGTGTTTGAATTAAGTTTGACTTATAAAGAATTACGCACGCTAACTCTCGATTCCCGCCTACATTTTACACCCATTTAATTCAATACTAATGGCAGTTTGGGCATAAAATCTTATGTTTTGCACATGTAAAATTAAACATATGTATTTGATAAAATACAACATTAAAGTTGTAAACCCCCTTGAAATTGGTGAAAAAATGAGCATTTTTGTTGTTTTTTGTCTGTAAACATGTATCCCCCCCCCCCCCCCCCCCCCCCCCCGTGAAACACAAAAACTTTGGTATGAATTTGTGGAATAACAAATCGTATTACCTGTAAAAAGGAATTTTTGTTTCACAGGGGGTGGAAGGGGGGGGGGGATGTTTCTTAAAAATATTTTCCGTTTTCCATTGATTTCTCTAGTGAAAAACGCAAGTTTTACCAAAATTATAGAGTTATCTCTCTTTGTCTTCCCAAATAAGTAATGTTATAAAAATTCATATAAAAGTCTATATAAATATGAAAATTCATTCAAATATGTTAACTTTTGAAAATTGACTTGGAGGTAGGCGGGAGAACAATACTATCGTTCGCAGTTCTTTAGTCAAATTTAGGCAAGAAACTAACTTAATGATACAAAGGAAGGAAAACTAAATGCTTTGGGCTGGTTTTTTGAGTGTACTTGAAGTTTTAAATATAATGTATTACTTCATTGTACAAAACTGTGAAACTGATTAAAAAATCTTTTCAGTGAAAAAATGATCAGTAGAAATGACATCACTTTAAATCTGTGATTATATTGAATTTACAATAACGTTTGTGCTTGTTGCGTTGTACGTTTAGAGGTTACTGTTATATTACTTTTAGTCTCCGTTTATATGTTGTGGGGTGTTGCCTGTACTTATACTTTTATCATCATTTTATTTAGAGGTTACTTGATTGCCCTCCATTCTCACCTAAGTTTATTGCAGCTATGAAATGTACAGGATGTACAAACTTGGGGATGTTTGTCAATTCTTTGCACATTGGTAACATTTTTTGGTTACTCTTATCAAGTTGGGATATTCTCATGTCCATTCAAATCAAGCAATAAAAATGTTACATTTCTTATTTCATATTCTTTGAGTTCTTAAGGTCAAGATCTAGTAAATGAAAGGTGCTTACAGATTTTTTAAATCTGAGAAGTGAGTTCTTTTAATGATCCTTTACAAATATAGCTTGGTAAAATAAGGTGTATCAGGACATAATTTTTAGGTAAACTCAGCGAAAAAACATGTTTTAAACTATTATTTTCAATGAAAAATGAAAAAAATAAGGTGTAAATTTTGGAGTTTTTTCCATCTCAGAAAACAGAAATGCATCAATATTGCCCACAGTCTCTCAGAAAACGGTTTTCAGTATCTTCCTGGCCTCTACTTTAAAATGATATCAAATTGAATATAGGTATCGGGGTTACTTTTGACATGATTTCAAATTGAATTTCATGAAAATGCTTCATTTTATACAAAATTCTATTACAGCCATATTACGGGAAAAATTAAGTCTAATTAAAATCAATTATGACGCCATAATGGATCTAGCTTCAAAAAGAGAGTCTAAACTCATTTACTAGATTTTGACCTTAACAAAAAATATATATGACTCTAAAACTGAACAATAAATGGGGATTTTTAAAATTATTTTGTCGGATGAATACATGCATTCATTGCATTGAATTTCAGGAATTTATAAGTTCTCTTTCTTTCTTTTTCTTTTGGACAGTTAAAATTGTCATCAGTTTTCAATTCAATATTAACACATGATGAATGGGTAGTGTTGTATATATTAATTTTTCAAATTGCACGATCTTTTAAAGATCGATGGTTAAATTTCATTGTGCATTTGATGCTTATTTGTTGACATTTTTACATTTATACTTAATCTGTTTTCTTTAAATCTATGAAATGTTAAGTGCTCCTAATCTTAACTTTGTCAGCTGAATTCTTGTACCATTATTATATACTGACATGATCATTATACATAATCATTATAAATAAATCAGGTATATTCATGCGTGTCTTGTTGCATACAACCGTTTCCAGCTCACCTGAGCTGAAAGCTCAAGTGAGCTTTTCTGATCACCCGCTCTCCGGCGTCGGTCCGTCCATCTGTAAACTTTTCACTTTTTCTTCTTCACTTCTTCTACAATTTCAATTCTTCTCAAGAACCACTGGGGCAATTTTAACAGTAACTTAAGTTGGCACAAAGCATTTTTGGGTAAAGGGGATTCAAAATTGTTCAAATGAGGGACCAAGCAAAAAGGAGATGATTAAGAAAAGGCAAAAATAGGGTGGGATCATTAAAAAAATCTCCTCCTCAAGAACCACTGTAGTGGTGTAGATTGTAAATTATTCAAAAGAAGACCCAGGGCTTAAGATGCCCCCTCAATAGGGATGAAAGTTTTACATTGAAATCAATTGAGAACAATTTTAGTGGAGATTCTAAACTTATGTTAAAGCTTCCAGACATAATGTAGATTCTGCATTGTTCAAACCATGGCCCCCAGGATTAGGGTGGGGCCACAAAAAGGAATCAAAGTTTTAGTTTGAAATATACAAAAAAAAAATCATAAAATCTTTTTATGAAGAATACCAGTGTACCAGAAAAGATGAAACTTATGTGAAAGCTTTGTAGTATCTGTGCGACTGTCCCGTGGTACGACTTACTGACGAGGCTACGTCAGATGGCGGGACAGTCGCACGGATCTCTTTCACCGCCAAGATGTCAAGCACACCAGACGTGGTACAGAGACGGTGAGTCAGCACGGGCCAGAACCCACTACAGAGTATATTGTATATTTGTATATAGTTGCTAATAAATATTGTTATAAGTACTATACCCCCGGGTAGTTACTTCACTGGCGCCCAACTCGCGGGGCCCGGTGCTAGATTCCCGTACTGCTGTCAGGAAATTTTTTTTTTTTTTTTGGCATTGTTTTTAGCCGCCATTTTTGGTGCTTAGAGCAGGTGTGATAGTTGCAAATTGTTTTTTGATTCTGATGCAATAATTTTTTGAATCAACTGGAATTAATTTGTGTATATATTTATTGCAAGTGATTTAGTGATTTTGTAGACTGTGATTTTATTTGAAAACTATTTTGTACCATTTATTATGAATATGTCCCTGGAGGAAGCCGTGTCGGCTTTAGGTCTGGGTAGTGACCCGGCTATCACGCGGTCAGACAATATCACCCCTCACACTCCGGGTAGGGTGGGGGGATACCCCGGGGAGGGGGGTTATTCGCCATACGCTTATAGCGGGAGTGAGCATTTTGCCTCCCGTCACACACCTTTTGCTCAGTCAATGTCAGGCCACATGGGAGGGGGGTTGCCCCTGGGGGGTCCCTCTACACCTATGCCCGGCCTGCACTCGGGCATCCCCTGTGGGGAGGGTAGTGTATTTCATGGAGAGTCAGGAAAAGAGGTAAGGTTTGCCCAGCCTCAATTTGGCTCACCAGGGATGATGTCAAGTGACTCCCTGGTGTCCTCTCTAGGTAGCCTGTGTAGGTGTAGCTCACCTGGTAGCACTGTGGGTTGTACCCACCCTAAACAAGAATATAGTGAGGCCCCTTCAAATTCAGGGTTAGAGCATCCATATTCTTTAGGGCATGTGCATTCAGTTAGTAGCCACCCTGTCCTTGTGGGAGACACAGCTAACCTGGGGGGCCCTGCTACTATGGGTTATAGACCAAGCCGCTTGGGTGAGGTTGTACCACACCCACTTGACCCCGCCCTTCCGTCCCATACACCGTGTGCTAGTCAGCAACCTGAGAGGCCTGTGAGGCCCGCACAGCTCACCTCCGAGTATGATCGTCAACATGTGAGGCCCGTAGATCCTGTAGGGCTCACCTGGGATCCTGCACCCATACAGAGCCAACCTAGACTAGCAGATTTTGGTGCGCCCTCTCTCCCTGGGGATGATTTGCAACCCCGGAGCTCAATGCCACGCACTATATCTGCCCCAGCCCCAGTAAATGTGGGAGTGTCCCCAGCAATGGTTCATTCACAAGTAAATCCTTTAGACACTGGTGTGACTGCTGCCAGACCCCAACCTACATCATTATATGCTAGTTCCACAAGCACACCTTACCATGCGCCCCAATCAGTGTACATCAATCCTGGGGGTAGGCATGCCCAACCCCCAGTACCCGACCACGCCCATTCTGTGTTGTATCGAGGCGAGAGTACTCCAGCCACACTCCATGGTATGGCTGTGCCCAGTGCACTGCAGCACCATAGTGTTCCTGTGTCAATGACTTGTAGTCCTGCCCATCCCAATACCCCAGCCCGTCATTTTGGAAGGGAGGGGGAGAGGATAGCACATGTTCAACCTAACATGTATGGGGCAGCCCATCCGGGATACTATGCTAGTCAGTCAGTCCCGGCTAACCAGGCTTGCAACTTTAGTACACCAATACATTATGGCTCACCTGGTTACCAGGGCACCACACCATACCCAGGTAGGGCAGCCACTGGGGGTAAGCCCCGGTATAAGGACCTTAGGTATGATGGTAAGACCAGCTGGAAGGCATTTTTGCACAAGTTCGTTAGATTATCTCGCAGCCAGCTATGGACAGAGGAGGAGCAGCACGACCAGTTTTGTTTTTCCCTTGAAGGGGCAGCCAGTGAATACTACACCTTGCTGTTAGAAACCAATAGCCAGCTCCGCCTAGGTGAGATCTTGCAGAGATTTGAGAAGCGTTTTGGCTCCTCTGCCCCCGATCTCACTCATCAACTCAACTTCCAGGCTGCCAATCAGAATCCAGGAGAGTCACTTCGTCAGTGGGCAGACAGGGTGCTGACTTTGGCGACGCGAGCCTTCCCTTGTGTGCCGGACGTGCACACACACGCCATACCTAGGCTATGTTATGGAGCCGAGGACCGAGACGCTGGCCTTTACGCACTCGATGGGCATCCCAGGACCGTGGATGAAGCCGTGGAGCGAATGCAGTACTACCAGCACTCCCGGCTACATAGGCCTAGGACCAAGAAAGAGCTGCGGAAGGTGATCTCTGATGAGGATGCCGAACAGGACGATCCCGGGACGGTAAATGTTGCTGCTGGGGAGGAGCTGGAAGCCCTCCGGAGCA